ATCGTTTGCGGATAAGCTTGAGGTATTTTAATCTTTCACTAAATTGAATCAGGCGCGTCCGCGACGCCCCGGCAAGGTTCGATTTGTGAGCGCCATTGTGCATAATTTCGTTTTAAACAGTGCGATAGACTATGGATAAGACTCATGCGACGGTGTTCAAAACTGTGCTCTTGTTACTCGTGTTTTGGATCCTTCCTATAATCCTTCCTATAGTCCTTCGCCTTTGTGTCGATATCCCATTATGCTTTGGAGAGAGAGAGAGAGAGAGAGAGAGAGAGAGAGAGAGAGAGAGAGAGAGAGAACGTAGGTACCATAGCGTACACGGGAAGGACCGCGGCGCCAAATAGCACCCTGTCGGGGTGCCGGAGGACGCCCGGGTTTGATTCACTTAAAGATTATAGTAACCATTCTTATCCATAGTCTATCGCACTGTTTAAAACAAAATTATGCAGCATAGCGCTCACACGATAGCCCAGGCTGCCAAATCGAACCGTGCAGGGGCGCGCCTGTTTTAATTTAGTGAATAAAATGATAATACTCAAAGCTTATCCGTAAATGGAAAGAAATAAACATATATGATTTGTAGGACCTGGCTTATTAAATGTTATTGATTTAAAAAAAATAATTATTGAACAGTATGTTCAGTGTATAGAATAAATAAAAGGCAGTATTAAAAATACCAACGACATTGCACTTAATCAATCCCCGCTAATTATGTAATTATTTTTTTTCTTAACACCAAAACAAAGTAATAAAAAGTAAATTCTTTCTTCCCCCGATTTAATGATTTTTTTAAAGGGAAGTAACTGTGCAGTCAATACATTTCAGACACAATTTTAGAAATTTTATAAACGTTGATACACTTTTTAAAATTTTTATGTAATGTTCATAATTGAAAATTATTATTCTAAGTACATAAAATGAAAATTGTTTGTAAAGACTTTCAATAGAAATTTTTTAATAATCTAACACTTAAATCCATTGAAGTATCCACGACAAACAAATTTATTACAAACATGTTACATTCAGAATTGAGCTTTATATATTATGCATTGTATTTTATTATTTAAACTTGTTGCTCTTTAGAAAGTTTTGGATTTGATTAAAAGTTCTATTAGATTCAGAAGTTCTCTGCATTTATATATAACCCTAGACATTAGATTTCGAGTCTGCAAAGAGTTGTGTTTCTAGTAATCTTTTATAGTTTCGTATAGTTCATCAGTCTAGAACCATCCCAAAAGAATCCGAGTGTTGCGTTAAATCTATCAGTTGTAGAGTTGCGTAACAATAGTCTTTAACTGAATCGAATCAGGGCGTCCTCCGGCGCCCCGACAGGGTGCTATTTGGCGCCCCGGGCTTTCCCGTGTTAGCTATGGGGCTTATGTTCACCTAAGCGAGTGCAAAAGACAGACTATATATAAGTTGGGGGTACTATAATCGTTTAGTAAGTTGGATCAGCCGCATCCGCCGTAGCCCCAGTATGGTGCGATTTGGCGCCCCGGACTAGACTAAGAGCACTTTGCGTTCATGTTTATGTTTGCGTTTTCTTTGTGTTTGGGTTGGGTTTGCGTTTGTGGTTAGGTTTGCGTTTGGATTTGGTTTGTGTCCGTTTGATTTTTTTTTTTTTTTTTTTTTTTGGTTTTTTAATTGTCAAACTGATTAAAGGCGTGAAATAATTGTTTTCAAATGTTCAGTTGACGAAAAGAGTCATGTGGCAAGCCAACCAGTTCAATTTATCTGTTGATCGCTTTATGTTGTTTATGGTTTCCATTTAACGTCATTTATTTACAGTGGAGTTTTAATACATTTCAAAATTTGTATTATTTTGTAACATGCACTTTTAAACAGTAATTGAAAAAACAAAATGGTTTATTTAACTTATTACATATTGAAAAATATTTATGACAAAGACACAAATCCGTGAATTAATATACATTGATTTTAGTCATGTATCACACAACTTTTAATAAGAATAGAAAATAACCCATTAAAAATATCACACATCAAAGATAAATCAATTACTTAAGCATAATCCAATGCACAGCTATTCTTCTAATAGTGTCAGCTACCCTCCCCCACACACTTAAACACAAACACTTACATAAACAGACACACACACACACACTTGGGAGCCGGACGTTATCTCGAATGACACAAATGCCCGAATGGACACTTGCCCGAATGCGACAAATGCCCGAATGGACACTTGCCCGAATGCGACAAATGCCACGGTTGGTTAACCGTAGCACGATTGCTGCCTGTAACCTACACTGACCTTCAATGAAGTGCATGACCTGTAACCTAAACTGACCTTCAATGAAGTGCATGACCTGTAACATAAACTGACCTTACATGAAGTGCATGACCTGTAACATCAACTGACCTTCCATGAAGTGCATGACCTGTAACATAAACTGACCTTCCATGACGTGCATGACCTGTAACATCAACTGACCTTCAATGAAGTGCATGACCTGTAACCTAAACTAACCTTCAATGAAGTGCATGACCTGTAACATAAACTGACCTTACATGAAGTGCATGACCTGTAACATCAACTGACCTTCCATGAAGTGCATGACCTGTAACATAAACTGACCTTCCATGAAGTGCATGACCAGTAACTTCAACTGACCTTCCATGAAGTGCATGACCTGTAACCTAAACTGACCTTCCATGAAGTGCATGACCTGTAACCTAAACTGACCTTCCATGAAGTGCATGACCTGTAACATAAACTGACCTTCCATGAAGTGCATGACCAGTAACTTCAACTGACCTTCCATGAAGTGCATGACCTGTAACATAAACTGACCTTCCATGAAGTGCATGACCTGTAACATCAACTGACCTTCCATGAAGTGCATGACCTGTAACATCAACTGCCCTTCCATGAAGTGCATGACCTGTAACATCAACTGACCTTCCATGAAGTGCATGACCTGTAACCTAAACTGACCTTCCATGAAGTGCATGACCTGTAACATCAACTGACCTTCCATGAAGTGCATGACGACATAAATGGAGCTGTCCTCGGGGTAGAGGGTGTTGGGGAAAGCTGTCTGGTTGAAACCCTGGCTGGCGCAGTAGCTGTTGGGGACTGTGACAGGAACACACGTGCCTGCTGTAGAGGGGAGAACACCAAGTCAACTCTACACCAAGTCAACTCTACACCAAGTCAACTCTACACCAAGTCAACTCTACACCAAGTCAACTCTACACCAAGTCAACTCTACACCAAGTCAACTCTACACCAAGTCAACTCTACACCAAGTCAACTCTACACCAAGTCAACTTTACACCAAGTCAACTCTACACCAAGTCAACTCTACACTAAGTCAACTCTACACCAAGTCAACTCTACGCGGGTTCCTACATAGACAACTGGTACCTCGCCAAAACTGCCCGGGACAAAAAGGCCTCGTCAAAACGTTCCTAGGATAACGTCATTTTGTTTTGATAACCTACAAGCATACTAGATAAAATAAAATAAAAATAAGACCTGCCGAACAAGAGATGCATACGTTGTATTACTTAAGAGTGTTGGCTAAGCCAACTCTAAAGAGTATTGATGAAGGGGTCCCACTGGCAGGTGTCATATTGATGAAGGGGTGCCACGGTTAGGTGTCATATTGATGAAGGGGTGCCACGGTTAGGTGTCATATTGATGAAGGGGTGCCACGGTTAGGTGTCATATTGATGAAGGGGTGCCACGGTTAGGTGTCATATTGATGAAGGGGCGCCACGGTTAGGTGTCATATTGATGAAGGGGTGCCACGGTTAGGTGTCATATTGATGAAGGGGTGCCACGGTTAGGTGTCATATTGATGAAGGGGTGCCATGGTTAGGTGTCATATTTATGAAGGGGTGCCACGGTTAGGTGTCATATTGATGAAGGGGTGCCACGGTTAGGTGTCATATTGATGAAGGAGTGCCACGGTTAGGTGTCATATTGATGAAGGGGTGCCACGGTTAGGTGTCATATTGATGAAGGGGTGCCACGGTTAGGTGTCATATTGATGAAGGGGTGCCATGGTTAGGTGTCATATTGATGAAGGAGTGCCACGGTTAGGTGTCATATTGATGAAGGGGTGCCACGGTTAGGTGTCATATTGATGAAGGGGTGCCACGGTTAGGTGTCATATTGATGAAGGGGTGCCACGGTTAGGTGTCATATTGATGAAGGGGTGCCACTGGCAGGTGTCATATTCAAAGAGGACGTTTCGCCGGGAGACTTAGTCTCTACAGAAACCGTATTAACAGGGGTCCTTTTGTCGGGAGCCAAAATGACAGGAGCCTATTTGTCGGGAGTCGTAATAACGGGGCTGTTTTGACGGGAACAAAAATTACGGGAGCCTATATGACGGGGTCCATTTGTCGCTGGCCTATTTGACGGGGTTGATTTGACGTGACTCTTATATCAAGGCCGTCATGTTGGGTTTTTTTTTGACAGGGCCGTTTTGTAATTGGCCATTTTGACTCTGCACGTAGACCTCTATATATAGGACGGGTACCCACATAGACCTCTATATATAGGACGGGTACCCACATAGACCTCTATATATAGGACGGGTACCCACATAGACCTCTATATATAGGACGGGTACCCACATAGACCTCTATATATAGGACGGGTACCCACATAGACCTCTATATATAGGACGGGTACCCACATAGACCTCTATATATAGGACGGGTACCCACATAGACCTCTATATAAAGGACGGGTACCCACAGAGACCTCTATATATAGGACGGGTACCCACATAGATCTCTATATATAGGACGGGTACCCACATAGACCTCTATATATAGGACGGGTACCCACATAGACCTCTATATATAGGACGGGTACCCACATAGAGCTCTATATATAGGACGGGTACCCACATAGACCTCTACATATAGGACGAGTACCCACATAGACCTCTATATATAGGACGGGTACCCACATAGACCTCTATATATAGGACGGGTACATACGACTCACCCTGATTGGGGTCCCTGACGCAGATCTTTGGGTCCTCACTGTCCGGGAACTCGTCACACGAGTGCATGTTCAGGAAACTTGATTCGTGTGTATCACGTGTACACATTCTTTTCACATCTAGGTCAGCACAGTTCAAACATATTCATACATGTCTATATGTATATATGGTATAGATGTATATATATATATATATATATATATATATATATATATATATATATATATATATATATATATATATATATATATATATATATATGGTATAGATGTCTATATATGTATATGTATATATGGTATAGATGTCTATAAGTATATATGGTATAGAGAGAGCAGGAAATAACCCTGCGTAACACCACACACTGTCGATTACAAATTTAGTCTAAACCTTATCCTAAAAACACACAAACATCTACAAACCCTAAGCTTCAGTTAAGGTTAAGGTAATGCTTAGGTTAGGATTCAGGTTTAGGGTTAGGGTTCGTGAGTCCTAAAATATTTCACTCTTCCCTCCCCTTTAGCTATATTAGATAGGTTTAGTTCAATGTAGCTATGTTAGATAGGTTTAGTTCAATGTAGCTATGTTAGACAGGTTTAGTTAATTAGGTTTAGTTTAATTTAGCTATGTTAATTGGGTTTAGTTCTATGTAGCTATGTTAGATAGGTCCAATTTAGTTTGCTTTTGCTATGTGTAAGGGGCTGGAGTTATTTAACATAACAATTATTATTTTACGACTTTCAATTTAAAATAAACCGGGAGTGATCTCCCCTAAACTTTCTCGAATATTCTAATATAACACTACGTGGGATGGCAACTCGGAATATAGACATGATTTTTGTTTACTTAAACTTTTAAAAATAGAATAAAATCTAGTAGAAAAAAAGAATTGCGCACCAAGTGAACGCCAAAGCAAAAAGCGCATAATAGTGCGTAATATTATTAGTTCTTTATAAATTTACATGCGTTTTTTGAGAAATCGGAAATAGCGTAAATTAGTAAATTTGATAGAAGGTAGAGAATTAGATCTTTTACTTACATTTGAAATTTCATTTATCTATCTGAAATAGTACTCAAGTTATAGTCTTTTGAAAAATTCAAAGTAGAAAAAGTACCACTTCCGGTTGTCGGAAATCGCTCAAAAGTTTATACGGATCTACGATTTTGATAAAATACCTATATATGAAATTTCATCAACGTAGCTGTAACGGTACTCAAGTAATCGTGTTTACACATAGACAGACAGACAGACACACACACACACAGACATACGGACAAGATTGCAAAATTATGTTTTTCCGTATCAGTGAGGTGTAAAACGTCGAGATTTGTAAAAATCTCGATTTTTTTTTGCACGATTACAATACTTTCTCTATACTTCGTATATACGAGAAAGTAAAAAAAGCGAATATATCTTTTTCTTTCCTGTTGAAGATTGTTGTTGTAGTTAAGTAGTCCGCCATTGTTTAGGGCTGCTTGTGCTGTTTAGTTAATATTCTTTAAATTTGTTTGTATGCAAAGTTTGTTATAGTGTCCCACCTCAAGTTTTATGTCGTGTTGTTAGTTATAGTTGAGTTAGGGACTATCTTCTTGTGTGTAGCTGTTATAGTTGAGTTAGGGACTATCTTCTTGTGTGTAGCTGTTATAGTTGAGTTAGGGACTATCTTCTTGTGTGTAGCTGTTATAGTTGAGTTAGGGACTATCTTCTTGTGTGTAGCTGTTATAGTTGAGTTAGGGACTATCTTCTTGTGTGTAGCTGTTATAGTTGAGTTAGGGACTATCTTCTTGTGTGTAGCTGTTATAGTTGAGTTAGGGACTATCTTCTTGTGTGTAGCTGTTATAGTTGAGTTAGGGACTATCTTCTTGTGTGTAGCTGTTATAGTTGAGTTAGGGACTATCTTCTTGTGTGTAGCTGTTATAGTTGAGTTAGGGACTATCTTCTTGTGTGTAGCTGTTATAGTTGAGTTAGGGACTATCTTCTTGTGTGTAGCTGTTATAGTTGAGTTAGGGACTATCTTCTTGTGTGTAGCTGTTATAGTTGAGTTAGGGACTATCTTCTTGTGTGTAGCAGTTATAGTTGAGTTAGGGGCTATCTTCTTGTGTGTAGCTGTTATAGTTGAGTTAGGGACTATCTTCTTGTGTGTAGCTGTTATAGTTGAGTTAGGGACTATCTTCTTGTGTGTAGCAGTTATAGTTGAGTTAGGGACTATCTTCTTGTGTGTAGCTGTTATAGTTGAGTTAGGGACTATCTTCTTGTGTGTAGCTGTTATAGTTGAGTTAGGGACTATCTTCTTGTGTGTAGCTGTTATAGTTGAGTTAGGGACTATCTTCTTGTGTGTAGCTGTCGTGTGTGTGTGTACTTTAGCTTAGAGCAAAATTTTGGGTAATCGATTATTTTAGGAGCGTAAAATCGGCAGAGGCTAGTAATGTGAAAAAAAAGTTGCCTCATTGTTAAGGCCTTAATAGAAGTATACTGTGATATATTTCTGACAAATATTATAGATAACTGAATAATAAACCAAAATCAATGGCTAAATATATCAATATCAATATAGGCAAGAAATTAACTTTAAACAGCAGTGTTTGCGAGCAGGATTTGCTATATAAAAAGCGGCCATCTGTACGTTAGAGTGGCTTCCCCTGAATCTCTTACTATAATTTTACAAAAAAAAACTTCAACAAAATGGCTGCCATTGTAAAAGAGCTTGCTTGCATCTGATGGAAACATCGCTAGTCTTTATTTTTTACTGAAAAGTTTTAATATAGGCCTTATTGTTTAAAACAGTTGGGCCTACATGAATGAAACCTTGAAACATTTTTGTAACTTTCAAAACATAAAACCTCCTAAAAATGTGAAATGATTACTAAAATTTAATGAGTCACCTTTTTTTAACATTACTAGTCTCGGCCGATTTTACATACCTAAAACAATAAGTTCGCGATCGTGGTGTGTGTATCACGGAGGGACATTCTGTGGGCGGGGCCTTTGTGGTTTAGGGAGGGACATTCTGTGGGCGGGGCCTGTGTGGTATAGGGAGGGACATTCTGTGGGCGGGGCCTGTGTGGTATAGGGAGGGACATTCTGTGGGCGGGGCCTGTGTGGTATAGGGAGGGACATTCTGTGGGCGGGGCCTGTGTGGTATAGGGAGGGACATTCTGTGGGCGGGGCCTGTGTCGTATAGGGAGGGACATTCTGTGGGCGGGGCCTGTGTGGTATAGGGAGGGACATTCTGTGGGCGGGGCCTGTGTCGTATAGGGAGGGACATTCTGTGGGCGGGGCCTGTGTCGTATAGGGAGGGACATTCTGTGGGCGGGGCCTGTGTCGTATAGGGAGGGACATTCTGTGGGCGGGGCCTGTGTGGTATAGGGAGGGACATTCTGTGGGAATGTCGAGGCCTGTGTCAAATGGTTCAGTTTTTGTATTGTATTTTTGTGGTTTCGATTTGTGTGTAGTCCGATTGGGTATTTTGTCACTTTTAGATTTCTTATTGTGTAGTGTTTGAATTATATTTAGTATTTGAATTTGGTTCCATTTTTCTTAGTGTAACGAATTTTCTAAATTGATAAGCTTTTTGGTTTCATTTTAGACTAATTAAGACTGAGGTTAGGATTTGACCAGTCTGGTTTCAGTCAACTGAGCCAATAGCTAGGGATTAGAATAGACGCCCCATGTCAAGGCTTACATATGCTAGGTTAAGTTTAGTTTAATTAAGAGTAGTGATTAGTCATTAGTTGCATTTGGCTACTGGTCATTATATTTGATAAGGTTATGATGATTTGATGATGTTTAGTTAAAAAAAAAATTGCGTAAATTTAGATGTTAACCAAGTTATGTTTAACCGGACATTCACTGCCAAGCTGGGTTTAACCGGACATTTACTGGCTCGCGGTAGATGATAGCATCTGTAAGTAGAATAGCCCCCCCCCCCCATGCGTTACTTATATGAGAGGACTTACTCAAGCAGAAGCGACGACAGGGGGGTATGGGTCTACCGTCAGCTCCACACTGGGGGGAGATAACTGCGCAGAAGTAGTCGCCGGCCGTGACGTAACAGGCGGGCTGGAAGCTGAGGCCGTAATGTTGCTTGACCGTCATCTCGGCCTCAGTCTGGGTCTGCTGGTGCAGGAAGTTGGGGTAGGAGGTGTTGCTGTTGGCACAGACAGACACGCTCAGCGGCACACATTTGCCTGCGAGAGATCAGCTTCATCAGCTCACATGGGCTTTCCAGGTCGGTGGGATGTCACTCGGTCATTTGGATGTCACTCGGTCATTTGGATGTCACTCGGCCATTTGGATGTCACTCGGTCATTTGGATGTCGCTCGGTCATTTGGATGTCACTCGGTCATTTGGATGTCACTCGGTCATTTGGATGTCACTCGGTCATTTGGATGTCACTCGGTCATTTGGATGTCACTCGGTCATTTGGATGTCACTCGGTCATTTGGATGTTACTCCGTCATTTGGATGTCACTCGGTCATTTGGATGTCACTCGGTCATTTGGATGTCACTCGGTCATTTGGATGTCACTCGGTCATTTGGATGTCACTCGGTCATTTGGATGTCACTCGGTCATTTGGATGTCACTCGGTCATTTGGATGTCACTCGGTCATTTGGATGTCACTCGGTCATTTGGATGTCACTCGGTCATTTGGATGTCACTCGGTCATTTGGATGTTACTCCGTCATTTGGATGTCACTCGGTCATTTGGATGTCACTCGGTCATTTGGATGTCACTCGGTCATTTGGATGTCACTCGGTCATTTGGATGTCACTCGGTCATTTGGATGTCACTCGGTCATTTGGATGTCACTCGGTCATTTGGATGTTACTCCGTCATTTGGATGTCACTCGGTCATTTGGATGTCACTCGGTCATTTGGATGTTACTCGGTCATTTGGATGTTACTCGGTCATTTGGATGTTACTCGGTCATTTGGATGTTACTCGGTCATTTGGATGTTACTCCGTCATTTGGATGTTACTCCGTCATTTGGATGTCACTCGGTCATTTGGATGTTACTCGGTCATTTGGATGTCACTCGGTCATTTGGATGTCACTCGGTCATTTGGATGTCACTCGGTCATTTGGATGTCACTCGGTCATTTGGATGTCACTCGGTCATTTGGATGTCACTCGGTCATTTGGATGTTACTCCGTCATTTGGATGTCACTCGGTCATTTGGATGTCACTCGGTCATTTGGATGTCACTCCGTCATTTGGATGTCACTCGGTCATTTGGATGTCACTCGGTCATTTGGATGTTACTCGGTCATTTGGATGTTACTCGGTCATTTGGATGTTACTCGGTCATTTGGATGTTACTCCGTCATTTGGATGTCACTCGGTCATTTGGATGTTACTCGGTCATTTGGATGTTACTCCGTCATTTGGATGTCACTCGGTCATTTGGATGTTACTCGGTCATTTGGATGTCACTCGGTCATTTGGATGTCACTCGGTCATTTGGATGTCACTCGGTCATTTGGATGTCACTCGGTCATTTGGATGTCACTCGGTCATTTGGATGTCACTCGGTCATTTGGATGTTACTCCGTCATTTGGATGTCACTCGGTCATTTGGATGTCACTCGGTCATTTGGATGTCACTCGGTCATTTGGATGTCACTCGGTCATTTGGATGTTACTCCGTCATTTGGATGTCACTCGGTCATTTGGATGTCACTCGGTCATTTGGATGTCACTCGGTCATTTGGATGTCACTCGGTCATTTGGATGTCACTCGGTCATTTGGATGTCACTCGGTCATTTGGATGTCACTCGGTCATTTGGATGTCACTCGGTCATTTGGATGTCACTCGGTCATTTGGATGTTACTCCGTCATTTGGATGTCACTCGGTCATTTGGATGTCACTCGGTCATTTGGATGTTACTCGGTCATTTGGATGTTACTCGGTCATTTGGATGTTACTCGGTCATTTGGATGTTACTCGGTCATTTGGATGTTACTCCGTCATTTGGATGTTACTCCGTCATTTGGATGTCACTCGGTCATTTGGATGTTACTCGGTCATTTAAAACTCTGTCATTTGGATGTTACTCGGTCATTTGGATGTTACTCGGTCATTTAAAACTCTGTCATTTGGATGTTACTCGGTCATTTGGATGTTACTCGGTCATTTGGATGTTACTCCGTCATTTGGATGTCACTCGGTCATTTGGATGTTACTCGGTCATTTGGATGTTACTCGGTCATTTAAAACTCTGTCATTTGGATGTCACTCGGTCATTTGGATGTCACTCGGTCATTTGGATGTTACTCGGTCATTTGGATGTTACTCGGTCATTTAAAACTCTGTCATTTGGATGTTACTCGGTCATTTAAAACTCTGTCATTTGGATGTTACTCGGTCATTTGGATGTTACTCGGTCATTTAAAACTCTGTCATTTGGATGTTACTCGGTCATTTGGATGTTACTCGGTCATTTGGATGTTACTCGGTCATTTGGATGTTACTCGGTCATTTGGATGTTACTCCGTCATTTGGATGTTACTCGGTCATTTGGATGTTACTTGCTTAGTTGTAACTGCATTAGACTGTGAGATGTCACTCTGTCATTCAGATGTTACTTGGTTATTTGAATGTCACTATGTCATTTGAATGTCACTTACCTTGTGGAGGTAGAGTTATGTTCGGCCTTATCAAAGCTGTGATTTAAAAATAAGAGGTCAATGTAATTATCGAATACGCAAAAACATAATTATAACATTACATTTTTATTTAAAAACATAATTATAACATTACTTTTTTATTTAAAAACATAATTATAACATTACATTTTTATTTATAAACATAATTATAACACTACATTTTTATTTAAAAACATAATTATAACATTACATATTTATTTAAAAACATAATTATAACATTACATTTTTATTTAAAAACATTTATTTTAATTTTTTTTTTACAAATATTATTAAGAGACAGGGCCTACTTATTTAAAGACCATATTACAAGATGTGTATTGCCAAATATTAAATATTTAAATAATATAAATATATTAAAATATACTTATTAAAGATTTTTATAAATATATTAATTACATTGTTTTATGAAAGATATTTTATTACAACATATTTATGACTAGTTAATTTTTACAATATATTTATTAAATGTTTTGATTAAAATATATTTATTAAATGTTTTGATTAAAATATATTTATTAAATGGTTTTATTAAAATATATTTATTTAAAGAAAAAAACAACTTTGAGTGATGAAAATATTAGCGTTTAATCAAAGTTCAGGGTTACTTCAGCTCAATTGAAATAGACAGAATAGTTCGAAGTTCGAGGATCGAAAAACGAAGGTCTCACCGTTTGGCCGAATAAAGATGGAGCTTGGGTCGATGACGAAGATGCTGTTCTTGAAACCTCGGGCCAGTATCGCCTCCAGCTGCTTGCTCAGGATGGGGAGGGGCGCGCTGGTGTTGTAGCCAGGCTGAGGCTGGATGCTGAAGTTGACCATCACATTCCGTTTGTTGTCGCTACAGGTCAGAAAACACCAGTGTTGCTATGGTTACAGTGCTTGTGTTTTGTTTGAAGTATCGATCCAATGGTTGCTATGGTTACAGTGCTTGTGTTTTGTTTGAAGTATCGACTCAATGGTTGCTATGGTTACAGTGCTTGTGTTTTGTTTGAAGTATCGACTCAATGGTTGCTATGGTTACAGTGCTTGTGTTTTGTTTGAAGTATCGACTCAATGGTTGCTATGGTTACAGTGCTTGTGTTTTGGTTGAAGTATCGACTCAATGGTTGCTATGGTTACAGTGCTTATGTTTTGGTTGAAGTATAGACTCAATTGTTGCTATGGTTACAGTGCTTGTGTTTTGGTTGAAGTATCGACTCAATGGTTGCTATGGTACAACAGGCATGATACTACATTTTAAAAAAAATCTTTTAAAAAATATGGCAAGCGATAAAATTATAGTTACATTTGTAAAAGTTAAAGCCGTTTTAGGAACCATCAATTACACTCATTTTCATATTTTTGTATCGAATATTATCAGTCGAAAAATCGTTTAGAATTGTTTTATCAATTCAAATATTTAAAAAAACTGCCCTCAACCTCTTATTGAAGTCACCCGGAATGGCCAAGAAGAGTAAAACAATAAAAGTCAGAACAATTGTTTTCCTTGTTAAAAATACACAATAGTGATCTATTGTGTATAGCGTAGTATTGTATTTACATTAAATGATATATATATATATATATATATATATATATATATATATATATATATATATATATATATATATTAACATCCCCAATCACCTCAACACCCAGACGCTACTAATCCCAATTACAAATAAAATTCTTTGCTAAATTAATATTATACTTCTAGTAATTATTTATTTGACTATTTTAAGCCTTCATGAAAGGGGAAGTAATTTTGTACTTATAACACAAATGTTATAAAATATTCAATTTTGGTTTAAAAATGTACTTTCTGGCAGCACAAATTTGGAACCAGCTTTTCATGCATATTGTGTAGTCTGATAGAATTGTCTAGTCTGATAGAATTGTCTAGTCTGATAGAATTGTCTAGTCTGTGTGGCTATTCTGGTAGAATTGTCTAGTCTGTGTGGCTATTCTGCTAGAATTGTCTAGTCTGATAGAATTGTCTAGTCTGATAGAATTGTCTAGTCTGTGTGGCTATTCTGGTAGAATTGTCTAGTCTGTGTGGCTATTCTGATAGAATTGTCTAGTCTGATAGAATTGTCTAGTCTGATAGAATTGTCTAGTCTGATAGAATTGTCTAGTCTGTGTGGCTATTCTGATAGAATTGTCTAGTCTGTGTGGCTATTCTGATAAAATTGTCTAGTCTGTGTGGCTATTCTGATAGAATTGTCTAGTCTGATAGAATTGTCTAGTCTGATAGAATTGTCTAGTCTGTGTGGCTATTCTGGTAGAATTGTCTAGTCTGTGTGGCTATTCTGATAGAATTGTCTAGTCTGATAGAATTGTCTAGTCTGATAGAATTGTCTAGTCTGATAGAATTGTCTAGTCTGTGTGGCGATTCTGATAGAATTGTCTAGTCTGTGGCTATTCTGATAGAATTGTCTAGTCTGTGTGGCTATTCTGATAGAATTGTCTAGTCTGATAGAATTGTCTAGTCTGATAGAATTGTCTAGTCTGATAGAATTGTCTAGTCTGTGTGGCTATTCTGATAGAATTGTCTAGTCTGTGTGGCTATTCTGATACAATTGTCTAGTCTGATAGAATCGTCTAGTCTGTGTGGCTATTCTGATAGAATTGTCTAGTCTGTGTGGCTATTCTGAAAGAATTGTCTAGTCTGATATAATTGTCTAGTCTGATAGAATTGTCTAGTCTGTGTGGCTATTCTGGTAGAATTGTCTAGTCTGTGTGGCTATTCTGATAGAATTGTCTAGTCTGATAGAATTGTCTAGTCTGATAGAATTGTCTAGTCTGATAGAATTGTCTAGTCTGTGTGGCTATTCTGATAGAATTGTCTAGTCTGATAGAATTGTCTAGTCTGATAGAATTGTCTAGTCTGATAGAATTGTCTAGTCTGTGTGGCTATTCTGATAGAATTGTCTAGTCTGTGGCTATTCTGATAGAATTGTCTAGTCTGTGTGGCTATTCTGATAGAATTGTCTAGTCTGTGTGGCTATTCTGATACAATTGTCTAGTCTGATAGAATTGTCTAGTCTGTGTGGCTATTCTGATAGAATTGTCTAGTCTGTGTGGCTATTCTGATAGAATTGTCTAGTCTGATAGAATTGTCTAGTCTGATAGAATTGTCTAGTCTGTGTGGCTATTCTGGTAGAATTGTCTAGTCTGTGTGGCTATTCTGATAGAATTGTCTAGTCTGATAGAATTGTCTAGTCTGATAGAATTGTCTAGTCTGATAGAATTGTCTAGTCTGTGTGGCTATTCTGATAGAATTGTCTAGTCTGTGGCTATTCTGATAGAATTGTCTAGTCTGTGTGGCTATTCTGATAGAATTGTCTAGTCTGATAGAATTGTCTAGTCTGATAGAATTGTCTAGTCTGATAGAATTGTCTAGTCTGTGTGGCTATTCTGATAGAATTGTCTAGTCTGTGGCTATTCTGATAGAATTGTCTAGTCTGTGGCTATTCTGATAGAATTGTCTAGTCTGTGGCTATTCTGGTAGAATTGTCTAGTCTGTGTGGCTATTCTGATAGAATTGTCTATTCTGATAGAATTGTCTAGTCTGATAGAATTGTCTAGTCTGATAGAATTGTCTAGTCTGTGTGGCTATTCTGATAGAATTGTCTAGTCTGTGTGGCTATTCTGACAGAATTGTCTAGTCTGATAGAATTGTCTAGTCTGATAGAATTGTCTAGTCTGTGTGGCTATTCTGATAGAATTGTCTAGTCTGTGGCTATTCTGATAGAATTGTCTAGTCTGTGTGGCTATTCTGATAGAATTGTCTAGTCTGTGTGGCTATTCTGATAGAATTGTCTAGTCTGTGTGGCTATTCTGATAGAATTGTCTATTCTGATAGAATTGTCTAGTCTGATAGAATTGTCTAGTCTGATAGAATTGTCTAGTCTGTGTGGCTATTCTGATAGAATTGTCTAGTCTGTGTGGCTATTCTGACAGAATTGTCTAGTCTGATAGAATTGTCTAGTCTGATAGAATTGTCTAGTCTGTGTGGCTATTCTGATAGAATTGTCTAGTCTGTGGCTATTCTGATAGAATTGTCTAGTCTGTGTGGCTATTCTGATAGAATTGTCTAGTCTGTGTGGCTATTCTGATAGAATTGTCTAGTCTGTGTGGCTATTCTGATAGAATTGTCTAGTCTGTGTGGCTATTCTGGTAGAATTGTCTCTGTTTATCCCACGGGTTTTTCTCTGGTATTTAGCTATAGATGGCTGTGTGTGGCTGTGTGTGGCTGTGTGTGGCTGTGTGTGGCTGTGTGTGTAGGTGGTGTGGCTGTGTGTGGCTGTGTGTGGCTGTGTGTGGCTGTGTGTAGATGGTGTGGCTGTGTGTGGCTGTGTGTGGCTGTGTGTGTCTGTGTGTGTAGGTGGTGTGGCTGTGTGTGGCTGTGTGTGTAGCTGGTGTGGCTGTGTGTGGCTGTGTGTGGCTGTGTGTGGCTGTGTGTGGCTGTGTGTGTAGGTGGTGTGGCTGTGTGTGGCTGTGTGTGACTGAGTGTGTAGGTGTTGTGGCTGTGTGTGGCTGTGTGTGTAGGTGTTGTGGCTGTGTGTGACTGTGTGTGTAGGTGTTGTGGCTGTGTGTGGCTGTGTGTGTCTGTGTATGTAGGTGGTGTGGCTGTGTGTGGCTGTGTGTGTAGGTGGTGTGACTGTGTGTGGCTGTGTATGGCTGTGTGTGGCTGTGTATGTAGGTGGTGTGGCTGTGTGTGGCTGTGTGTGGCTGTGTGTGGCTGTGTATGTAGGTGGTGTGACTGTGTGTGGCTGTGTGTGGCTGTGTGTGGCTGTGTGTGGCTGTGTTTGGCTGTGTGTGGCTGTGTATGTAGGTGGTGTGACTGTGTGTGACTGTGTGTGGCTGTGTGTGGCTGTGTGTGGCTGTGTATGTAGCTGGTGTGGCTGTGTGTGGCTGTGTGTGGCTGTGTGTGGCTGTGTGTGGCTGTGTGTGGCTGTGTTTGGCTGTGTATGTAGGTGGTGTGGCTGTGTGTGGCTGTGTGTGGCTGTGTGTGGCTGTGTGTGTAGGTGGTGTGGCTGTGTGTGGCTGTGTATGTAGGTGGTGTGGCTGTGTGTGGCTGTGTATGTAGGTGGTGTGGCTGTGTGTGGCTGTGTGTGGCTGTGTGTGGCTGTGTGTGGCTGTGTATGTAGGTGGTGTGGCTGTGTGTGGCTGTGTATGTAGGTGGTGTGGCTGTGTGTGGCTGTGTGTGTAGGTGGTGTGGCTGTGTGTGGCTGTGTGTGGCTGTGTGTGGCTGTGTATGTAGGTGGTGTGGCTGTGTGTGGCTGTGTATGTAGGTGGTGTGGCTGTGTGTGGCTGTGTGTGGCTGTGTGTGGCTCTGTGTGGCTGTGTATGTAGCTGGTGTGGCTGTATGTGGCTGTGTGTGTAGGTGGTGTGGCTCTGTGTGGCTGTGTATGTAGGTGGTGTGGCTGTGTGTGGCTGTGTGCTGTTGGTGGCTGTGTGGCTGTGTGTGGCTGTGTTTGTAGGGTGGTGTGGCTGTGTGTGGCTGTGTGTGGCTGTGTGTGGCTGTGTGTGGCTGTGTGTGGCTGTGTGGTGGTGTGCTGTGTGTGGGTAGGTGGTGGCTGTGTGTGGCTGTGTGTGGTGGTGTTGCTGTGTGTGGCTGTGTGGTGGCTGTGTGTGGTGTGTGGCTGTGGCTGTGTGTGGCTGTGTATGTAGGTGGTGTGGCTGTGTGTGGCTGTGTATGTAGGTGGTGTGGCTGTGTGTGGCTGTGTGTGGCTGTGTGTGGCTGTGTGTGGCTGTGTGTGGCTGTGTGTGTAGGTGGTGTGGCTGTGTGTGGCTGTGTGTGTAGGTGGTGTGGCTGTATGTGGCTGTGTGTAGCTGGTGTGGCTGTGTGTGGCT